AGAGAGAGAGCGAGCGAGAGAGAGAGAGAGAGAGAGAGAGAGAGAGAGAGAGAGAGAGAGAGAGAGAAGAGAAGAGAGAGGGAGAGAGAGAGAAGAGAGAGAGAGCGAGAGAGAGAGAGAGGAAGAGGTCGCGGTGTCCGCCTCGGAACAGCAGAGGCCTCGCGGCCCGCAGTAGTGCGCCTCGAACGCCCCTTGCGAGCCGCCCTCCTGCCTCGCTCGCGTCGGCAATCGCACACACGACGCCGCGGCCCCGGCAGGCGATCTGAGCAGCTCTGCCGGGCGTTGAAGACGCCTTGAGCGGCGAGGCTCTGCGCGGCGGCAAGCGCGGTGCCCGAGGACGCGGCGGCGGCCGCTGCTGGCGCGGACGCCGTCGGCGTGAGGTGGAGCGTCAGCGTCTTGTCCGCGGGCGCCAGCTGCGAGAGCACGATCAGAAACGCGGACCGCTGCGCCGGCGCCGCCGCGGGCTCCGACGCGAGCCTCTCAGGAGGCTCCTCGGGCGAGACGGCAGCGCTGGACGCACTGGCGACACGGAGGTCGGCGGCGTCGAGCGCGATCGCAAGCGTGCCGCCGCCGACCCACGTCTCGAGCGCGAGCCTCATGGTGACGCCGCCTGCGCGGGTGCCGAGCAGGGAGGCCTTACCGACAGAGCAAGGCGCGCGGCGTGCGTGGTCGGCATAGAAGGAGGCGAGCTCATTCGCCATGACCTGGGTTGCCAGGAGGGCGGAGAGGCTCCGGAGGACCGAAGACATATACACCTTCTCCGGCAGGTACGCTCTTGCCGTCAAGTCGAGGCGCCGGCTAGGTCAAAGAAAAGAATTCTTGCAGCCGCCGCTGTCACAGCAGACTGGCTCGGAGAAGATGACTCCGAGGAGGACGAACCAGTGGAAATCCAGTTGTCAGATGTCACGATGCATCCGAAGGGGACCCCAGCGCCGGCATCATCCGTAGAGGCACGAGTGTTCGAAGAGAGAGTGGACCTGAGCAACAACATGACTTGGAGGCAAATGATCGGAGTGGGAGTCAGAAATGTGGTCCTTGCGCGAGGGGAGCTCGATAGACTCGAGGGGCCAGGATACGCCGCGAGGAGGACGGAGTTGCGCCGAAAGGCGAAAGAAGCCGCGAGAACAAGGGACCGGCAGGCGGCGGCGTCACAGGACGAGGCAGAAGAGAACGACGCGACAGAGGAGGAAATGACAAGGGAGAGAACGACGAGAGTGGGACGACCGCGAGGTGGCATGAAGATTGCAGCGAGAATCGGCGAGAGACTGCGAAGAGAGATAGGAAGAGGCAGACTCCCTAGGGTGGGCGACGGCTAGCGCACCACACCCCTCTCCTTAAAATCCCTGTGTGGTGGCGGCGTGCCGTTCTCCCATCCCTCCCTTGGGTTGTGTGTTTTCTTTCTTTTTTTTAGACTGGCTCGGACTGGCGCTACAAATGGCACAGCAGGCGACGGCCCCTTACGGGTCGTCAAAGAGGCCGGCGTACTCCTCCGGCCGCTCCTCCCCCTCCCAATCCTCCGTGTGAGTGAGTATTCTTGATACGAAACCACGACGACACACACCAGTCGACTCGCATCGGTTGCCTCCATGAACGGCGGAGCTATTCTCGCGCCCACACCACACCTACGTGGACACGCCCATAGCTGGGGACACTACTAGGTCACGCATGGCATCACAGAAGTTTTATCTCTGGGCCCCGAAAGGCATCTCTAGCAGTGTCGTCGGCCGACTGAATCTGAAAGGGGGGGGGGGTCAGGGCATGACGCGCACCGCAGCCGTCATGCAAACCGAATCAAAACTGCGGATCGGTGAGAGAGAGCGTCCACGTACTTCAACCCGGTTCGCCCCACTTCCACCCTGTGACCGTGTGAGGTGTTGAGGAATCTTGTGCTCACCCACGGCACCGGGCCGGGGCTTGCACTTTGAATGCCGTGGGGCTCCTGCCCGTGTCCCGGGCGTGGAGATGCGAGGGTCGCCCCCCCTTGCCCCACCACTTTGTGTGTGTGGAGACGTTTACCTTACCTTACCTTACCTTACCTTGAGGAATCTTCG